GGCCGGCCCGCGCCGGGGCCGGGCGGCGCCCCTCGCCGGGGCTCGGCCCCGCGTCTGGCAAGCGGGCCGGCACGGAGAGGGTGCCACCGGACCCGCGAGGGCCCAAAGGAAACCTCCCCCCCCTTTTTTTTTGTCCTTCCTCCCCTTCTTTTTCCTTTTCCCACTGCCCTGGAGTCCAAGGCTGCAAAACTCCTCGCATGGGTCTGGCGTTGGTTTGTTTGTTTGCCTTAGTGGCAATTTAAGATGATTCATGCTCCTGGGTTTTCTGCTGTGCTTTTTCTTTTTTTTTTTCTTTCTTTGTGGGTTGTTTTTGCTTCTCTGTTACAACGCTCTCTCCTCTCTTTCCAGAACCCCCATGCCTCGCAGTGGAAGGATCCAGCGCTGAGTCAGCTGATGTGCTTCTGCCGGGAGAGTCGCTACATGGATCAGTGGGTGCCAGTGATTAACCTCCCCGAGCGGTGACCGCGCCGGGCCGAAAACGAACTGAACCGAATTGCACTGAAGTTTTGCAATACTTTTAGCAGTTGCTCAGGAAGTAACTCCCTGCCCTGGCACAAGGATTACAGGGGAGGGGGGAGGGGAAAAAAAAAAAACCAACAACAACAACAACAAAAAAAAAAAGATAAAACTGATGTCAAGGGGGTAGGCTGAAGTTGAACCGCATCTTGTGTGGGACTGAAGGAAAGTGACTCCGAAGCAATGGGGATGAGCGTGGAAGCGAAGGGAAGAGCAGCGCCTGCGTTGCCGGAGGAGCGAGCCCTGCCTGGGGTGCCACACAGCCGGGTTACTCGCCGAAAACGCCCAACACCCTTCACGGTTTTTTAAAGTGCAACTTAGAGTTTCTGGTTTAAATACTTACAGAGCAGAAAAGTTAATCAAAACATTTTACAAACAATTTTATTGTATTTTTGGGATGTTAATTCTCAAGTTTTTATGCTAAGATATATAATAAGTTATTTTATGATATTGATGAAAAAATTATTTATACTCTGAGGTTTGAGAACCAGAATGCCCTTAAGCAGTTGGTCTGCAACCACATATCTTTTAACAGTTGGCTGTTAAAAGCAGCTACATTAATATAATTGTTTGAAATTTGGTAGTGTTTTGTTTTTCGGGGTTTTGTTTTGTTTTTTGGGTTTTTTTGAAATAAAGTTTAAACTCCAACCCTTTGTACTGGGTGGTGTTTTCTTACTCCGTTCATTAGTGTAGAGTCAAAAGGGGCTCATTTGGCAGCTGCTTCATTGTTCTGGCCATGGGCAAGGTCCTGTTGCACTGGTCCTGTGTGGGTTTATTCCTAGCTCCTGCCATGCCATTAAATGAAAAAGCAGCTGATGTGCTGCAGTAAATGGTGGAGATGTTATTTATTTTTCTTAAACAGAGTTTAAAAAAAAAAAAAGGAAGCATTATTTTTGAGGCTCTGACACTCCTGCAGAGCCTGAGTCTTCTTGGAAGGTGGGGAAACCTGATTCCGTGTAGGAGGAAAGCTTGACCTGATGTTTCCTTTCCTGGGAAGGTGTCAGCCCAACCCTGTGCACCCCCAGCACTGCCTGTGCCCCCTAGGGTTAGGGGGTTTCTGTGCTGGGCTCCTCTTTTAATTACACTGGCACACAAAAAGCTGTACTCCTTGTGGCAGAAATCTCTCTCCAGGCCCCAAGAGAGCAGGAAAACAGCCTCCCTCACACCCACGCCGCTTGCTGCCAGCAAGAGCCCTGTGCCGCCTGTGCTTCCACCGCCGCGCTGCCTGCGGGAGGCCGCAGAGACGCCAGTGACCTACATCGGGGCTTCCCTAATTGCACGTCTGTGCCGCACCCCAGCGCGCTGCCTCGTGGTACCGGGCTTGGATGCTGCCACAGCCCTCGCGTGCGCCCCAGCAGTGGCAACGGGGGGGGTCACTTTGTCCCCAGCCCCAGCAGGATGGTTGCCCCGCTGCCGCTGGCGGCTGCCAGCCCAGCCAGGTGGCGAGCCCGGACCAGTTCTCCCGCTCTCCAGACGCACGGGACAGCACGCTCCGGCACGAGGCCGCCCGTCCCCATCCCGTGCGGTGCTGCAAGGCCACGTCACCTGCCCCGCAGTGGCCTCGTGCCGTCTCTGGCACGTAGCTCGGGACCGGGCAGGCACCGTCCTGGGCCCCTGGGGACATGGGATGGCTGCGGGAGTGAGACGGCGCAGGAGCAGCGCTGCCATCGGCCCATGGCAGCACGCAGGGGCTCCTGACCACGGACGCCTTGCGCGGGAGTTGCACTCGCTGCCCACCACAGCACGGGCCTGAGGGAAGAACACAGGGAGCCCCAGCAGCAGCCACCAACAAGGAGGTTGCGTCAGGCTCAGACACAGTAGCTGCACAAAATGGGAGTTTTCTGAACATAGTATTTTTAGCTTCATTACTATGGCATGCATTCAGCATCAGCATTTCAACAGCAAATACACTCCCAAGAGTTGATCTGTTGGCTCTCGCCTCCATTCGCACATAGTTAAAAAAATCCTCTTTCTGTTGCAAGTTACTTTAGCAGCACAAATGTAAGATATTGAAGAGAAAGTTTAACCACACCTAACACATGCAAATCCAGCTCTGGGGATCTTTTACCCTCCTTTGCTGTTGTACAACAGACTCTCTGTTGCCCTTCCCTAAGAGTGTAAAAGAGGGTGGGTGGCTCAATCACATTTTTGGAATTAAAGTTAATTGCAAACATTTGCAATTTCACTGAGCTCAACCTTGAGCAGAACCCCCTGAACTCCTGGCTTCTCCAGGCTACAAACTGTGTGGCCAGGACCCATGGGTGGCCCCGGGGACACATGGCCCAGCACACATGTGCACCCAAACGCTCTTTTTTCCCCCAAAACTAGCCAGCTCCGAGGAGGGGGGGGGTCCTGTCTGGCCACGTGCCAAGCCCTCCCAAAAACGCCCAGGCAAGAGAGGCCCCGACCCCGCGAGCAGCCGCAGCCAGAAACGGCAAAGCCGGACGGGAGCCCAGCAGCGCCCACCCACCAGGGAAGCACCAGCTGCTGGAGAGGCAGGAAGGGTGCCAGGAGAGGCGGGAAGGACGTACAACACGTACCGGAAAGGACGTTAATTCCGATAACCAGGCAAAAGGAGGAGTAAGTGGTAGCTCCATGCAGCGATGGGATGTCGTCCGATGCCAGAGCAGGGCCTGGAGAGCTGGACTTGAGATCCTGCTCTGCCCTCTGATCGCTGCACCCCTCATTTAAAATGGGCGCTGGTTTGGGGCTTAATTGCACTGCAGCCTCAAAACCAAACACCATCAAGACAAGAGCGACAAGTTCAAGCAAAATCTGATCATTTTTGGCAAAGCACAGCATGAGAAGCAGCCCAGCTGGCCTGCCGGCTCCCTGGGCAATGGCTGCGCCTCGCGCAGGGGACCGCAGCCCCCAGGGGGCCCTGGTGAGGGACACCTGCGCTTTGGGGATGGGGATGACAGGCCTGCACCCAGCACACTGAGCTAAGCCAAAAGAGGGATGGGTCAGGATTGCCCTGGGATAAAGGATGTGGAAAGTAAGGAAAAAAAAAGAAAAAAAAAATCACCTCCCCCCAACAGAACCAAGGCTTTACCAAGGGTCTTTAATAATAATCTAAACTTTTTTTTTTTTTTTTTTTTTAAATGAGGAACACCTAGCTTCTGTCCCTGCTCCAAGGCCGAGGTGTCCTGCAGCTCTCAGCCCTGCGGCCGTGCTCACCCAAATAAAACCCCCCCAATGCCCAGCCAAGAACAACTGTGAGCAGATCTTCCGCGATCTCCTTTTTTCCCCCTTTGAGCCCCATCGGTTTGATATGAACAGGTCCTACCTGAGACAAGACTTAAATACTACCTGCAGGCACGCTTGAGGGTCTCAGTAGGCACATCCTAGCCATCCCACCTGGGGGCTGCAGAAGACCGGTCCTGCTGTCACCCAATGCTATGGGGACAGCCAGGTTCTTTTGGGGACCCTTGGCAGATTAGGAGGGGTCAGGAGCAGGGGGTTCTGGTCACACCTGCACCAGGCCATTCCCATCCCAACCCCATCACCACCCTTCCCATGGAAACACCTAGCAATGCACCAGCACAGCAGCAGCGAGTCCAGCCTCTGCAGCTCACCAGCTCCAGGAGGCCAAGGAAAATGAATGATGATAAACTGAGAGCATAGAAAACAGACATGTTTCAGCAAGGGGCTATTTTAGCAAGAGTCAAGTCTCCAAGACACCAAACAGCCCTTCTCCCTTTAATGCAACACAGCATTAAGTCAAATTAGAAAAATACAGAGAAAAAACACAAACAACAAGCTGGCTGCTTAATTTATGGGGGAAAAAAAAGAATAAATACCCATTCTGGAGTAGTACTGTGTTCACTTGATATAAAAGAGAGGGGCAGCATGGTGATGCCGCGTGGCATGGCTGTGCCGCCCTGCCACACCACATCACCGTACCACCCCACCATGCTGCCTCTGTGGGTTTCCCCAAGCAGCTGTGGATGCAGATGGTCTCGTTTCTCCTTTTTCATTCTACTACAGCAGAGTCTGTATTTCCCCCGAATTTTACAATTCCTGTTCTTTCACGGGAGTATTTATAGCAAAAGAGCAAAGTGCAAATGTAACCACTTGAGCTTTCGCATGTCCCTATATATTGCATTTAAAAAATAAAGAGTTTACCGAAAATCTATATGCTAAACGTCATCAGAAGCAGGCAGTTGCGTGGTGCTGAGTTAGCTGATGATCTCAAGTCTTCTACCTAAAACTGAGAAAGCACCTGAAAAAAAACCTGGCATGGTGTTTTTAGTCCTATGCCTCTGATCACCAACGTGACCATGGCCACCTACAATCAATCCTTTTGCTCTTTGGATGTGTAAGCAAGTGTGAAATAGATGCTGGCATAAATCTTGCCCCAATGCTGCAAGGATGTCAAAATTGCATGGAAAAAGTTGGAAAATACACTTAGCCCAGCTGCTGGGCTGGGACAGAGCCACGGCCACAGCCAGGACACGCTCGACATTGGCTTGACAAATGCCAGTGTGTTCGTAGGAGACGAGTGACAGAGCGAGCCTGAGGAACGTGCCAGAAGCTCTTTGTTAGAAAGTACAGAGTTACATGCCGCTATGGACGCGGCGTGATGGGTGGGAATGACGGGAGGTGGCCAAGCTCCAGCTCAGGGCAGAGTGCCGGCAGGCCCCCACGGCTGGATCACCAACCAGTCCCTGCTGCAGGCTTTATTTAAGGGCAGACAATAGAGAAAAAGCCAGACAATCTCTGCAGCTACACAGGTGATTGGGGGGGGCAGGGGGGCCGGGAGCTCTAACAAAATAAAAATGCAGATTACTATGGGGACAACAGATTGATGGGAGAACAACATTCAGGCAACACCACGAGGTTATTTACCCTCCCCGTGCCCCACGTACCTGCCTGCACACTTCTGAGCACAGCTGGAGTTCTCTCAACAGGTACAGTCTTGCATACTCAAACTAAGTTAATTACTATTTTTAA